TAACATCAGCCAATCACACTGCTTAGTGCGCATACTCCCTTAAGTGTTGAATCTGACTGACATCAAAAATGTACGGATCGGAAAATTTTCAAATGCGCGGCAACCGTGGCAATACTTTTCACTGAAGAGGACGTTAATTCGAAATGAGTTTATCAAAGAAGTGGAAAGTGGACGCTGAAGGCCGAATATTCAACAAAGAATGGACTTCTAGATTTTTTTTTACTAGTGTGGGTAGAAAGTAAAACAAATAAAATAAATTAAATAAAAATAAATTAAAAAATGAAATAAAGAAAGAAAATAAAAACAATGTGCAGTTACAAAATAAAATAAGCAATTTTGCATGTTTTCACTGGCACTCGATGAGAGTTGTGATGTCAAAGCCACAACCCAGTTGATAATTTTTATTTGAGGTATCACCAAACATTTTAAGCTCACAGAAGAATTGGTATCAATGCAGTCAATGAAAGATACGACACCTGGAGAAGACTTTTTGGAGGCAGTAAATAAGTGTATCTTAAAATTAGGAGCGCAGTGGAAAAAATTGGTGAATGTGACCACCAATGGAAGCCCAAATCTGACAGGCAAAAATGTTGGGTTACTGAAAAGAATTCAAGATGATGTCAAAGAAACAAATCCAGAACAGAATATTGTTGGATGTTTGAATACATCAATGTCTGAGTGTTTAAAAAGTAGACTCAGACGTTGATGTATTCAAACATCCAACAATATTGTTTTTCTACACCAAGAGGTCCTCTGTAAGAGTGTTCTAAAACTAAGCAATGTCATGGACACAGTTACGAAAGTGGTGAACTACATTCGAGCAAGAGGATTAAACCACAGGCAACTTGTAACTCTGCTTGAGGAATTGGAATCCGAGCATACAGATGTTCTGTATCACACGAATGTAAGATGGCTTAGTTTAGGAAAAATCTTGAAAAGAGTGTGGGAACTGAGAACAGAGACTGATTTATTTTGGGGCATGAAACAAAAAGATTTGGATTTCCCACAGCTGAATGACAATAATAATAATAATCCTAGCATTTGATATAGCGCTTTTCACGTCCGGAGGACGTCCCAAAGCACTTCACAGAATACACTGTAAAGTGAATCGACTGTATATTTGTGGGCAAACGCGGCAGCCAATTGCGCACAGCAATGTCCCACAAACAGTCGTAGATTGAAAATGACCAATTTATTATTGTTTTTGGTTTTGGAGGGATTATTATTAGGCTCTGTGTGGAGTAAGGAAACTTGCCCAAGGTTTCGCCCTCTGCCTGGAATTGAACTCAGGTCTCTCACTTGCAAAGCGAGTGCTCTAACCACTGAGCCACAGGACTCCACAAATGATGCAAATTGGCTCTCTGATTTCGCATTTGCCGTTGATATGATGGGCCACATGAATGAACTGAATTCAAAACTACAACGGAAGGGGGCCTTTGTGCACGATTTGTATTGCAGTGTTAAGTCATCTATGACAAAATTATTTACTTTATCACGTTAGATAGGAAACAGGCTGTTCGCCCACTTTCCAATTTTGCAGCAGATTACTGTTTGCGATCAAAACCTTAAAAAGTATATTTCGTCATTACTTGACCTGCATGCCGAATTTTCTCGTCAATTCCAGAATTTCAATTTGATTGAAAATGACCTGTCTTTGGTCTCTTCACCTTTCTCATTTGATGTTGACAAAGCCCCATTTGACCTCCAACTTGAGTTTATTGACCTGCAATGTGATCCATTGCTTGAAGAGCATTCAAATCAGTGCCATTTCCCAGTTTTTATGCCTCTCTTAATGAATATACCTTTCCAAAAATAAAGGCTTATGCCCGGAGGATGCTTGTGCTGTTTGGATCAACATACATATGTGAGGAGACATTTTCTGTGATTAAATCAATAAATCAAAACATAGATCTGTGATGACTGATGACCACCTTGCATTAACCAGATAATGCACTTATCTGGTTAATTATCTGGTTAATGCACATCACCGCTTTCATTCTTCCCATTGAGTGAGCTACTCACATTCTCATCACTATGTGAATAAATATTGAATAAATGTCTACTCAATGAGTTGCTTTTATTTAACCTAATTTTAATGAATGTTGATCATATAGACTTTATTTTATGCATGTACAAGTGTAAGACTTGATTTTGAGCTATTATTAAGCATTTGCGTCTATATTAAGTGTGTGACCCCCGAAGCTTACCAAACCTCGTGCAGTGGCCGCCAGCCCCACTACCCCCCTCCCCTGGGGACTGCCGGGGGCTAATGCCCAATTATATTTCCAGCTGAAAAAATACACGTCCCAAAATGCATTGAGATATCGCTTGGAAACCGAAAACCCCGAACTGACTGGTCCTCCCTCACTGCCCTCTCACCACCGGGGGAGTCTCTGGGTTTCTCTTTGGTTCGAGAGGAGAGTGACGCTGAACGTCGCCGAAGACTAAGATGAAAAAAAGTGAAAACAAATCAGTGTCAGTGAGTGAACGGTTGGGTCGCGGGAGGTGGAGCAGCGGAGTGGACGTTTCACAAAATCTTTTTAACTTTGATTATATCTGACAACTTCAAAGGATATATATATATACTGTATATAAGCAATTTATTTTGGAAACTTGGGGGACTCGTCTGCAGATAAAAACAGAAAGAAATCGAAGCTCTTTGAATGTAAGTACAATATAAAATCCAGATTCCTGCAATGTCCTGGGAACATGGGAGGGAGCAGTTGTGTGGCTTTAATTTAAAGTTTGGGACAATGCGTTTTATTCTCGCTCTGGTCAGGTTACTGACTGACATAGCATTGCTGTTCTGTAGGAGAAATGCAAGAGGGTCATTCCAGTTTTTGAATAAGCATTTATAAAATAAGGATATACATGAAAGTGGTTATTGTTTCTATGCTAATTTATGATTTCTGACCTGGACGACATAGAGCATCTGCATTGGGAATCTGAGAAAATGTGCACTGATTTAAAAGTGCTGACTTCACCAGTGAATGTAATAGATATTGTTAACAAACATTATTTGAATTGCAGCAATCCTATTGGTTTTCTATTTATGAGTTATATTTTCGTGGTTTTCAGAATAAGGGAAGCATGAACTGGGAAATGTATCAGGAAACTATCATTTTAGTCTCGCTTTAACATAACCGTATTGGAAGATATAATCATTGAAACAGCAGAACAAGTTCCCAGTCCTCGATCAACGTTTGACACAACACGTCTGACAATAGTAATGCAAACTGTGGAAGGAGAGAAAATGCTGTGACCTTTGCAAAATTGTATCGTGTTCATGTTATGTATCCAGCTTCTGGATTTGCTTGGCAGGATCCACAGTTATTCCAGTTACTTGCGTACATTTCTGTTAAAAATGGGAACATGACTGTTAAAAACGTGCCTTGAAACCAGATCAGGTATTTTCTCTGCCTCTGCCTCTGCCCCATTTACTGTGTCAGCTGAAGTCATTTTTCTCTCAGGTTGATGACGTCTTTGCAAAGTAAACGGAGGGGTTTTGAGTTTTGTTTTGCCATTTTGTTTTACTTACAATCGGGTTAAGAGATGTAAGGATTATTATCTGCAATATTCCATTGGAAGTCGTCTTAGTCCATTTTTTTTCAAAAGGGAACTTATTGGTTGCTGATTTTCTAATAACGTTGGTACTTTTTTAATTCCCCCATCACTACTGCTGTTAGTGATTGGGGACTTACTGATTTATGAATTGGATGTCCTTTATAGATTACATGTCGCCCCCAATACTTGCTGCACTGCACGATTGAAAAAAATTGGAGAATGCCTAGTTATACCGTTCCCCTTGTATAGCAATAAAAGTACCCACTATCGTAAGCTTGACGTCCATGTCAATAATTTTTTTTAAAACAAATTGGTGAAGCTCAGGCCAGGAATGTAACAAACACATTCTGTAAGAATGGCATTCTGTACAGTTCGATGCCTGTCCTAATTAATGAAGGGAGCCCCATCTTACAGAGTGGATTGAACTACAGAGTAGTCCTGGAGTCCTGTAGCTCAGTGGTTAGAGCACTCGCTTTGCAAGTGAGAGACCTGAGTTCAATTCCAGGCAGAGGGCGAAACCTTGGGCAAGTTTCCTTACTCCACACAGAGCCTAATAATAATCCCTCCAAAACAAAACAATAATAAATTGGTCATTTTCAATCCACGACTGTTTGTGGGACATTGCTGTGCGCAATTGGCTGCCGCGTTCGCCCACAAATATACAGTCAATTCACTTTACAGTGTGTTCTGTGAAGCGCTTTGGGACGTCCTCCCGACGTGAAAAGCACTATATCAAATGCAAGGATTATTATTATACGAAGAACCCCCCTCCCCTCCCCCTCACACAAAAAATACACATCTGTATCTGTGAAACAGTTGTTTTTCTGACTGGAAGTGTGCAGTGGTGTCCCCCAGGGGTCGGTATTGGGACCAATGCTGTTTTTCATCTATATAAATGACTTGGACTTGTGTATAGGAAGTACAGTTTCCATGTTTGCAGATGATACTAAGCTAGGGAAAGTAATGAACAGTGAGGAGGATAGTACCAGAGTGCAAGTGGACATAGACCGACTGTTAAAATGGGCAGACACGTGGCAGATAAAGTTTAATGTGGAGAAATGCAAAGTGATGCATTTTGGGAGGAAGAATGAGGAGAGGCGATATAAGCTGATGGTACAATCTTAAAGGGGGGGAAGGAACAGAGAGACCCGGGGGTTCATATAAGCAAATCTTTGAAGGTGGCCGGACAGGCAGATAAAGCTGTTAAACAAGCATACGGGATACTAGGCTTTATAAATAGGGCACAGAATACAAAAGTCAGGAAGCTATGCTGAACCTCTATAAAACATTGGAGCTGGAGATTGTGTTCAGTTCTGGGCCCCACACTTTAGGAAGGATGTCAAGGCATTGGAGAGGGTGCAAAGGAGATTCACCAGGATGGTACCAGGAATGAGGGATTATTCTTCTTGGAGCAGAGAAGGTTAAGGAGACTTAATAGAAGTTTTCAAAATTATGAGGGGATGCGATAGGGTGAACAAGGAGAAACTATTTCCACTGGTGGGTGGGTCGGTAACCTGAGGACACCAATTTAACATAGTTGCTTAAAGAAACCGAGGGGAGGTGAGGAGAAATTTTTTCACACAGCGAGTTGTTTGGCTCTGGAATGCATTGCCAGAAAGGGTGGTGGAAACCAATTCGATAACAACTTTTAAGAGCGAAGTAGATCATTATTTTATTAGAAAAGGGAAGGATTTATTGGCGAGGGAGTGGTCCAAAAAAGATGGTATATGAATTTCTTTGCCCTACAATATAAGTGGTCATCTCTGGGTCAAACTAACAGGTGGTAGAACAGACGACAGGTCTATTAGCCACATTAATTCTTGTGACATGGTCGTTTCTGATATTGTTTTCAGTGCCTGGTTGAAATAGGGAGCCGCACTCACTTTCGAGGTTGTTTTCGCCTCCTGTCATGGGTCCCAGAACAATGTCAACTAGGAATAGTGAGAATCAGAATTAGAGAGAGAGAAGTGAGAGAGAGAGAAGCAGAATTAGAAATGCGAGAAGAGAGGTTTTGCCAGTTACTCGCATTGATTTTCTTCCAGTCCATCCAACAACATTCCACTTGAGTTTGTGATTTGGCAGCTGGGCAACTGAACAAAAAAATACGTGTGCCAAACTCAAGAGGAGGAGCATGTTTTGAAGTTTATCAGAAATTGGAAGATTGTATTGATTGAGTGTACATTTGTTATTTTAACCCTTTGCGCTCCCGACCATCTGCCAAACATTCACATTCTGCTTTTGTGTGAGAGACGATCCATCGTCATAGGAAAAATATGCAAATAAATCAAGTCAGGTTTGGAAAAAAATGTCATATAAGCAAATGAGTCCTTGATGTACACAGGCACTCAAGGGCTGGATTTCAATGTCATAAATTATCCGCATGTTTTTACAGTCATTAAATGACCCATTATAACTCTCTCATAAAGGGGTCTCGAGGACGGGATAGACAATGATACAGTGTTTAAATCTGACACCCGTTAGCTGAACTCTGGGGAAACATCACATTGAATTACTGCGTTTCTAAACCTTTAAGAACATCGTCTGTGTGCCACATTCAAATGTTCCGTTAATCTCGCGTGTTGACAACAGTAGCCCTTTGAATCCCAGCCAGCTCAGCCAGATATGCGCAATAACCTGACCTTTTATTTGGCTGGCTGTATCTTCCCACTGTGTCAAAGCTGCCTCAGACTACCAAGTGTGGGCTTTGTTACCCAGCACACACAGAGTTAAGACGCACCCATTTGGGATTAGAGTTCTATGATTTAAACACCCAGCACATAATTACTCAATGAATACTAGTTCCTTTATGCCCAGTACAGAATACTGGACTATTCTCGTGGTTGAGTATGCAGAATGTTCTTCTAAATAACCGTTTCTGACCCTGAATCTCCCCAAATATCAAACACAGGTTTATTACATATCATAAGCTTTGATTATAACAACGGTATTTTCTGTAAACAACAGGTGTCTTAAAATAAACCTAAAAGATCCAAAAGGATCAGATTTACACTAATTTAAAGGAACACTTTCAATCGTTTTCCTCCTTGTTCTGATGAATGCAGGTGAGTACTAAATACAATCAAAGACTAATGAAGGATTCACTCAGTGAAACATCAGTGGCCATTTTTTGGGGGGATCAGCCGGGGTTCTGACACATGCGGAAATCAATCACTGTGCTTAAGAGTATCCAAACCAAGCTGAGATTTCCATGCATCCCACCTACACATAGAAATCCCAGAGATAGATTGTTGGAATGGAAACTCTCTCCCTAGAGGAATGCATCTTGCTTACTTAATTCCAGAGAGTATTAGGCACAAGAACCAAGGCTTGGGGACCCCAGAGTGTGCTAACTGCTGGAGTCTAACCAGCTAAAACCGCATAGTTTGCCATTGATATCACTATCTGACAAGCTTTCCCGCTGCTTGTCCAGCTAGGCATTGTGTCCAGTGGTAATTGAACATGGCACCACATCCTCAGATTTCACTGTCCTCCTCTCCTCCCTAAACCTCACCATCCACATCAACTCGCCGAACCACAACCGTGGCCACCCCCTAGACCTCATCATCACCCACAGCCTTGACATTTTCAACCTGTGCATCACGGACAAGGCCATCTCGGGCCACTTCCTCATCTCTTTCTCCTCTCTCATCTCTCTCTCCTCCATCAAGCCCTCAACTATACTTTTCTGCCCATGGAAAAGGCTTTCCCCCCGAGACCCTCACAAAGGCCCTCTCATCCTCAGACCTCCTATCCTTCTGGCCTTCCACCCGCAGTGACCCTGAAGCAGGCGTCAAGCTAGCCATGATTGCCTCTCCTCCACCTTCAGCTCCCTGAAATCCAGGATCGTCTCCAAACCCACCTGCTCCCCCTTGTACAACAGCCATCTCCGCTCCCTAAAATCCCAAACCCGGCGGCTCGAGCGCAGGTGGCAGAAAAACAGCCTCACGGTTTACCACCAGCTGTGGCTCAAGCATCTTCACACCTACCGCCGCTCTCTATCACAAGCAAAAACTGAGCACTACTCAAATATCATACTGGAGGCCAACAATAACTCCAAAATCCTATTCTCCCACGCCCACCACTTCCCCCGTGCACCCCCTC